AGCAACATAACCATTACACCATCTGCTGGTCCCTAGAATAATTTTTAAAAGTAAATTTAGATATGCAACCTTCTCAGAAAGGCAGTTAAGTCCTGACTCATAGTATTTCTTTTTTTTAAAGAATTATTTAATTTTTTTATTGTTATTTTAAAATTTGAACAGAGAAAGAGAAAGTGAGAAAGTAAGCCACCAAGTTGAAGACTTGAACTACGGTTGGCCATGTAGGAGTCCAGCACCTTAACCACCACACCACTGTCAGACCCAGTGACTCACAGTTTCTATAATTCCATTTGAAGGATAATTAGAAAGAAATAAAGAACTAGAAAATGGCATATTTCTTGGGTATTTATTTAATCCTACCATTGAGGCTAAATACTATATATTTCATTTAATTCTCCTAAAACCCTGAGAAGTATGCATAATTTCCCCAATTCACTCATGTGGAAACGGAGGCTGAGATCGCCCATCATAAATTCCACAAGATGAAGGTGGGATTCAAACTTGGTCCTTACTCCAATGCTTGTGGTCTTTTTATGCTAATATGTTGTCTTCTCTAAGTGAGAATCAGGAGTGACCTAGCCCAGGTATTAATGGAGGAAAAAAAAATAGCTGCCGAGACATTTCTTAAAAAAAAATTCTCTGTTTTTTCCATTTGCTTTTTCCATTGCTTAAAGCTGTTATAACTGGTGATCACGTGTTAGAAGATGGGAATGTGGCACTCTCTCTGACTAGGTTTTGAAGGAAGATTTCCCCTCTGGATTTCTAATATTTAGGATAAAAGAACTGTTCATTCCCCAGGAGGTGAAACTGGAAGGAGACTTGGAAAATTGGTAGCCTTGGGCTTGTAATATTAGGTGAGATTTTCAATTGAAGTGTAGAAGCTCATTTCAAGTGTATTTTCCAAATTTATTTCTGGTACTCAATCTATAAACCCCTGCTTACTCTATCCTCTGTGCCATTGGAAGCTTTGTAGCTATGTAAGAATAGAAACGATTGTTTGGTGTCACAAATTTATAAAGAAATGAGCATCATCTATAGTTAATTACTTGCCTCTATAGAGAGAATCGGTGTACGAGGCCAGCAGATGACATAGTAATTATGTCACTGGCTCCCACATTACTGACTGTGGTTCAAGTCCCAGATGTGGTGGCTTCAAAATCACTTAGGGCACGTGTGTGTGTGTGTTTGTGTGTGTGTGTACCCAAGATCCCAGGAAGAGAATGGAGAAGAGATTGAGGCATGGCCATACCCGGGAGGAGTGAGTTCTCACTTTCCCTCTCACCTTCTCTGTCTCTCTCCAGTGAGGCCACATGCCCTTTGGCAAAAACCTCTTAAAAAAAAAAAAAAGACTATCAGTATAAATAACTAAAAGCAGCCTAACACTTAAAGCTCTATACTGTCTCTTTTCCAGCCAAAGAGATTTTAAAAATCTTGAAAACTGCAAAAACAGTTTTCTTTAGTGAAGCACATCGCTACTCCCAAGTAAAGATCCCTCAGGAAAGAAAGGGTTTGAGGCAGAGCCTTATGAAAAGTTGGATTAGTAAGAGGATGGACTAATCAGATGGGCACTGAGCAGACTGATGCTGATGGTTCCCATGGGAATCAGCTTAGGAGAGTCAGGTACCAAAGTGGTGTCTCCAGGTATGAATGGTCTTATTTTTTTGAGATATTTATGGGGTTTATTTATTTATTAAAAAATGAAAAAAGTAAAACAAATGTTGAACTAAGGCCCTTTAAAGCATTTAAGATTCAAGAACAGGATTGTTTTTTATTTCAGTGTTAACTTGTTTGTGGGGAGAGCTGGCAGATCTTCTGCCACCTAGTGGTCAGGATTTATAGTTAGGAAATGCAGGAAACCTGCTATCCCACCGCCCAGCTATTCTTACGGATGACAAATGTTGGGGACCGTGTTTTTACTCCAGGGGGCAAGCAGAGGGGACAAGGACAAGTGCTCCCTATTTAGATGACGCACGAGTGGCTACTTGGTTGTCAGTTGAGAGGGATCTTGCCTGTGAGGACCTCTCCAGAGTGCCTAACTACCACCACATTAGTATGTCTTTTCCAGGTAAGCCAGGCAAACGGGACCTAAAAGGAATCCGATTAGAATGATTCCTGAGGGCCAGTAAGCATGGTGGTTAAGGTATTGGATTTCCACATGGCTAACCACGGTTCAAGTCCCAGACCTTGTGGCTTGCTTTCTCTCTCCTTGGTGAGCACACGTGCCCTGTACCAATCAAAAGAAAAATAAATAATAAAAGTAAATAAAATTTTTAAAAAATGACTGCTGAAATCCTCAGGTGAGGAAAGAAAAGTGATGTGAGAAGGTACTGATGATGGAGTCACCTAAGCCAAGGTCACTGGACACTCAGTGGCGTACAATAGTTAAGCACAGGTGATCTATGGCTGCATCAGGATCAGAGGCAAGCCTGGCCTTCAGATTCTGAGGAATGGCCTCAATTCCTGCAAGTTAGGGTAGAACCCAAAAGCATTAGTTATGAAACCAGGAGGAAAACAAGAAAGGTATTTCAGCAGCTGCCAGTGGTCCATGTAAGGGAGGATATGGAACCTCTGTGAATAGTAGTCAAGATGTACTGGATTTTGGATGATCTAAAACCTTGTATTCTGAGGTCAGATAAAAGAGAAACAACCTGATCAGGGATAGGTAAGATCTCCTGGCAAACAGTGGCGTCCCATTTAGAAGTTGGCAATAACATGGAATGTGTGCATTTCTAGATACTGAGTACAAGTAAATGCTCCCCATCAAGGAGGGTGAATTTTGCCCAGTAAATCATTATTTGTCTGTTATATTATTTTTAAGCATGAAATTAGAATAATTTCTTTAGAATCTGAGTATGTATTCTATGGACTGACTCTCTATCCACGGCTAGAAAGCTGATTTTGATGATTGGTCATTTTGGCAAAATTTGATGATAATCTATAAAGGTCTCTGAAAACCCGCCAGTGTTATTTATGAAAAGACCCTATGATTCTGCATTGAGAACACTTCCTAAGAGAGGAAGGCTTTTGATTATCATTTATCAAAAGAAAGTTTTCATGTTGTTTTAAAATTTGGAGCAGAGTGGCTGTATGTTACTTTCTCCAACTTTGTTTTGGGGAAACTGTCAGCTCATTCTTTCAGATTTCCTGGTTCCCATTTTTGGACCTCCTGTTATTCTCTGGCTTTAGAGGAAAATCTGCCAAGCTAGTCCAGAAAGTAATCCTAACAGCACGGATAAAAGACTCAGGTTCCCTTTCCTGGACAAAGAAACAGAGCAATGTTTATTGTGCATGCATTTCCCTTTCCCTCTCACTTAGAATATCATTCAAATAACTGATGGGGAGCTGGGTGAGACAGAGACATCCTAGCCCACTTGGGGAAAATGACACCGAAAGGTACCAAAGTGGGTGGTACTGAATAAAGTAGTGAAGTCTGAGATCTTGCTCCATCGATCAATGGCCCAAAAACTTTGTAAACATTATGACTCGAGGAGGGGAATAGGTGTCAAGTTCACCATTTATTGTATGTATTAGAGATCTGATATAATACTGGAAGAGGAAAAGGAACAGTAGGTTTACATGCCACTTAAAAACTGCCACATAGGTTGTAAGTTAAAGGTATGGAGCTGTAACTGATGAACGAAGATAATGAGTGTATTTAGAAAAAATAAGAAGTATTTCTATTTATATTTTAGTGTTAACATTAAAAGTGGGATGTAAGGATTATAAATTTATGTCCATGAATAACTCATATTTTTACCTAACAGAGTGGTTGAGAATGAAATAATAAAAACATTATGAAATCACAACTCCTTCACATCATGTCTGGTAGCATGGCTTCACTCAAATGCTTTGTCATCAAGTGCCAACAGAGGTTAGTGAAAATATTCTCACAATGGCTGGAAATGTAAGCACTGCACAAGCATAAGCTCTCTTCTCATTTCAAATACAAAAATAGTAAATGTATCAAGTTTACTTACGTTAACAAGGCTATAAGTTATTTTTCTTTTTTTTTGGAGAGGTTTTTACTATAGGGTGCGTGCGCTCACCAGACAGACAGAGAGAGACATACAGACAGAAAGTGAGAAATCACCCCCGAGGGGAGATGATCACACCACAATCCCTTCTCCTCCATTCTCCTCTAGGGATCTTGGGCACGCACGCACACGTGCCCAGCGTGAGTTTTAAGCCACTGGGTCCGGGATGCGAACCGCAGTTGACTACGTGGGAGTCTAGCGACATAGCCATTACACTAACTGCTGGTTCCCAAGTTCTTTTTCTTTTAAAATAATGCCTTGTACTCTAAATTGATTCCATATCAGATTGCTTGTAAAATGAATCTGCTATAACCTTTTCTTCCTTTTAGATTTTTTCTCTGTCTCCCTCCCTTTTTTCCTTTCTCTCCTTCCCTCCCCTCTCTCTTTCATGAGACAGACAGAGAAACAAAGAGAAGGAAAGAGAAGAAGATGAACTCTCTTGACACTGTCTCATGCCTCCATCTTTCCCCCATTCCCAGCTAGCCAGGACTACGGGCATGTGTGTGCACTTCTGGTGTGTACAAGTTGACCTGGGAACCAACCCCCAATCTTCCTTAGCTGCTGCGCCACTGCAGCTGGGCCACTACTACCTTTTCATGATGTCACCTAAAGTCTGATCACTTAAATATTCGCTCCACAATCATAAAATTGATTACCCAAATATCAACTCACATTCCATAATCTTTTTTAAAGATTTATTATTTAATTTGGTTTGTTAGTATTTTTTTAACTTGACCAGACAGAGAGAAAGAGAGAAAGTGGGGAACTAAGAAAGCAAGCCGCCAAGTTCAGGATTCAAACTGCAGTTGGCCATGTGGGAATCCAGCACCCCAGCCACCACACCACTTGCTGGCTCCCATATTCCAGAATCTTTTTTATTTTTAAAAATAAATAATTAATTTTTTTTTTTCACGTGAGTTTTGTCAGAGAAAGAGAGAAAAAACAAGCCACCAGGTACAGGACTCAAACCGTGGCTGGCCATGTGGGAATTCCAGTGCCTTAACCACCACACTACCTGCTGGCCCCATATTCCATAATCTTAAAAGCAGCACTAATATCTTGGCTTAAATGCTGGGAACAAACACAAGTTTTCTTTGTTCTTTTTTTTTTTTAAGGGTTTAATTTATTAATGAGAGAGAGAGAGCATGTGTGCACAAATGAGAGTTAAGGCACCCTTGATGGGCCTTGTTACACCGGATTCCCTTTCTCCAGTTCATCAGGACCCTGGGCACTTATGCACACATATGCCAGGCATGTTTTCAAGTTGACCCAAGCATCTTAATCCAAGGTTGGCCATGCAGCAAATAGCACTGCAGTTCAGTTTGCTACTGACTGCACCACTAAGCTGGACTAAGTTATTCTTTTTAACTATTGGTTGTTGGGAAAGTATTGATGCATTTTTGCATAGAAAAACAGAAAAATATGTCATGACTTTCCTGATAACCTAATAGTATACCCTTCCTTAGGTTTGCCTGATGAGTTCATCTTCCAACCAAACAAACATTTTTTTAAACTGTTACAGAATATACACTGTTCTATTTGAGCTCTTTAAAAGGTGAGGGTATTCCTCTCAAAAGAAAATGGAGATTCTTACCAAAGGGAGAGGAAAAAGAGGCAGGCATTTGTCTCATTCATCTCTGCTTCTCCACCATAACCTAGCACTGTCCCTGGCACAAGAAACTCCACAGTAAATGTTGGATGAAAGAATTAAGTCAGATGGCTCAGCAGTTAGGACTCTCAGTGTCTTCAAACTTGTCATTGTTTTTCTTTGGCTCTCATTTATATTTGACAAATAAACATGTTTATCTTTTTAAATAGTTTTTCTTTACTTTTTTTTCCTGGAGGGTAATTCTCCCATTTCAACCTAGTATGTCAGTATAACTGGATAACCTCATCCCACTCAGAAATAGGCCATATTCCATTGGGCTGTACATTGGGGGGAGAGTGCTTCCAGTCCCATGTCTTTACAGGAATCTTCCAGGTCTTACCATAGTTGGCTTCGATATATTCAGTAGTTTCACAGGGTACGTGAACCTTCATGTCTACAAACTCAGTCCAGCATAGTGTAAACTTGGGAAACAGGTATCTGCAGCAAAATAGAGGCAATCAATGTAGGAATGGGGTAAGCTTCAAGTGTTGATCTAGTAACTGAAACCCACCTGCTAAAGGACAACCTTCTCCCACTAAACAGCTTTGGAGACAGAGTGGACATTTTATCATGTTTAAAAAAATTTTTTTTGACTCCCTACCATCCTTTCCTTTTTCTAATGTTAACACCATCCCAATGCTCCTCCTCTATTTCAGCCCATATGTTTGAGGAAAGGCTGACCCCACCTCTAAACTCCATAGATAGATAAAAGACCCACGTCTTTTTTTTTTTTTTTGGAGAGGTTTTGGCTATAGGGCACATGCACTCGCCAGACAGACAGAGACAGAAAGCGAGAAATCACCCCCCCAGGGGGGATGGTCATGCCACAATCCCTTCTCCTCCATTCTTCTCTCGGGATCTTGGGCATGCACGCACACACACCCAGTGTGAGTTTAAGCCAACGGGTCCAGGGCTCAAACCGCGGTCAACTACATGGGAGTCCAGCGACATAGCCATTACGCTAACTGCTGGTCTGAGCCTTGGGATTTCTGATGGAACTACTGGGAGAAAAGGTGTCACTGCAAAAAGTTGGAAAAAGATAGACAAAAATGGTCATTTACTTTTCTTTCATAACTTAGATTTCCTAAGGGTACAGAGTAAGAATGAATCAGGGGTGGGAACCAGCAGTTAGCGTAATGGCTATGTCGCTGGACTCCCACGTAGTCGACCGCGGTTCGCGTCCTGGACCCAGTGGCTTAAAACTCACGCCGGGCACGTGCGTATGCGTGCCCAGGATCCCGAGAGGAGAATGGAGGAGAAGGGACTGCGGCGTGGTCATCCCCCATGGGGGGTGAG